TCGGAAACATAGATCACGTAAAAATTTAATCTGAATATTCTCCAATTCATATTCAAGATGACTGCGTACAAATGTGCAGTAAATGATTTTTAAAGTCTAAGCTTGCTTAAAATCATGAGACCGTTTAATAAAGCCTAATGTCCTGTATGCTTTAGCGATAATACTGTTGATATGGACATCGAATATTAGGTGAATAGACGTTATCCTAGCGAAGATCTTCATGTCATCATCGATATAGATAAGAGACTAGAAAAACTGAAGCATTTCTCAATATCAATCACGAAAACAGCAAAGGTCCAAGCAACGAACCCTGTGGAATAATGGAACGCTAGGGATGTCAACCCAACAGGAAATGTAATTAATAATATTATTAATAGCTTGAGATAAGAACGGTTATTAAGGTAGGATATTAAACACTTTAGAAGATCTCCCTTGAAGCTTAGAAACTAATAAATGGTGTGGAATTCTGTCAAAAGTTTTGCTATAGCCGTATATATAAGTACACTTGCCCTCCATTATCCATTGTATCAGCGATGGTTTCATTCAAAAGAACAAGATTAAAGACTGTTGACCGACATTTCAGAAATCCATGTTGCTGAGGACTTATTGATTGTCTAATACAAGGATACAACTGATCGTAAATTAAACGTTCCAAAACCTTTGCAACTATACACAGTTTAGAAACCGGTCTATAGTTTTCTACCTCATATTTTAATCTCTTTTTGTGGATTGGTGTTATAAATGCCCGCTTCCATTGGGAAGGTGTATATCCTTGCATAAGGGATATTCGAAAAAGGACGCACAGAGATATCGAGGTTGATTTGGTTATCAGAAAATATGATGGTAACACATGCGGAAAGGTAGATTTAGAGGCATCTAGTTTTTGAAGCACCTTCGCAACTCTATTGTAACTGATTTTTATAGAAAATATATAGAGGTAGAATCAGTAATTGGAACATTCTGAATTAGTGCAGGCGAGTTCACGGCAAAAGTTGAAAGAAAGTAATTAGAAAATGCTTCGCAAATCGAGTCGACAGTATTATAGGTCGAATCATTGTAGTTAAGACTACAAGACATACCATTAGATTTTTTTAGAACATACATAATTCCGGAAATTGTTTGGATGTTGATGAATTGAGTTTTCTATTTACATTAAATAATTTTTATAGCATAGCTTTTCTAAAAAATTGACTCGATCACGTAGCAAATTGTAACTTTGAATATCTGCTAGATTGCCATAGGTTTTATATTTTCAATGATATTTTGCTTTTTAAGAATATCTGAGACACGTATAATTAATCAATTTTATTTTGTATTTTTATACAAAAAAAATAGAATAATTTCTACACTAAATGGCATGAATTTGAATTCGGGTCTGGATTTTTACATAATCCTCCTCGTATGAACATTCTACGAATCATAACCCTCCTTCGCTGTAGTCGGGTAAAAACGTCATATGAGACGTGTTGACTTGTTGACGTTTAAGCCTGGTACTAAAGTTAGTCCTCTGGTAGTCCTCGTTTTATAATAAGGCGAGCCAAATTTGATTTTTAAACGTTTCAATATAGGTTGCAAAATGCTTTGGCATAAGTTCGTATTGTAAAAAATGTTGTTTATAAAAAACTATAAAAACTTGCGGCGCTAGATGAAATATGTTATTTTAATTTAACTCATACTATTATATGGCAGTCACATTATTCTTGATTATTATAATAACAAAAAGGAACCACAAAATTAAGAACAATTTCGAAGCATAATAAATATGTAAAAGATTATAAAATGGATATTTTAAATAATTTATTGAAAAATAACGTATAATCCGTAATGGTTCGACCGACCAATGGATTCGAAATTATTGAAAAATAAAGAATCTGCTAAACGACAGTAAGAGTCGGGCATTGATAAGGGTTCCGTACAAATATTTGTTGCATTTTAAAAACTATAGGTACATTTCTTACTTTTTTAGCGCAATATATCAATTTCTGTGATTGATATCGAACATCTTAAAATCAAGTGGAGAAATTCGACGGTTTTGTATAACCTGACGTGCTGTCTGATGTACGATCAAACATAAGTCCAAAGATTCAATCGCTTTGGATTTGCGCAAGTGGGGCACATATTAATATCTGTGGGGTTGGGTTCGGAAAATACGGAATCCTAAAAACAACACAAGATAATAATGTAGACTTTATTGTAGACACATTATGAGGTCATAAGGTTGAGTTTCGCTTACGTCATCCATTACTTTATATTCTTATATGTTGCGAACGCTAATAATAAATTTTGCGAACGTCTAATTACGTTAGGGATAATCTTGCCGTTTAGCGAGAGCGACTTCGTAAAATGTTTTTTAATGAGTTTGAGTATGTACTCAATAAAGTAGTTTATCTTTTCTCGACATTAGAATTAGTTATCTAGTTTATATGTGATAGTATTTTCGAGGCATTTGCATACAAAAAGCCTTTGTCGCAATTTAACATGTCAGCCTCCAACCGCGCCTGACGTCGGCACCATCTTTCACATCAACCTTTTCACTACCTACGCATGCAATTTACCAGCGTCATTAAATTTAAACTTTAAAGTTAAGTAAGCTAGAATTCAACATCATTTTTTTGTTGTTTCCAGCGTTCATGGAGCCAGATCACTTGAGTAAGAGATACAGGCGGAAACGTTCCACCGGCTCCCACTCCAAAGGCAAACGAGATGCCCCCTATGTCATATATCCAGAGATATTGGTCATAGTGGACTATGACGGTTATAGGTAAGTTAAGGTGAAGTTTATAAGTTGCACAAGCTGGAATAGGGAAGCTGGGCCCAATTGAAACAGGGTACGGAGAAGATAACGCTTATAATTTATAAAGTATTAGTGCTTTGACAAGAGACGAGAGGAACGCAAGGCATCTCCGGCCTTGACTGGAAATTTCTTCCACATCTCTCTTTCCTTGGAATTCTTGTGATAACGCTAATAATTTACAATTATAAGCGATTTCTCCACCGCACCAGTTTGCCATATAAGGAATCAGACTTTAAAATTCTATTGCAGCAAGCGTAGTGTAGACTAATATCGTCTTATAAAATAAGAACTAACATTAGTAGTTAAGTTTAAACCTAACGATTCGATCGCACTCTAGTAAATGATTCAGCTGAAAGGTAGAAAAGGACCTATCCTTAGTCTACTGACTGCTGATACCGTTCTACCAGATGAGTCGACTCGCATATGACATTAATATGACGATATCTGTCTTTGAAGGAAGTTAAATGAAATGAAATGAAAATGAAAATGATGTGCCTAGCTACGCCACTTAAAATTGTGATTAATAGGATATACATCCTTGGCATTTCAACATTCATTTTCAAAAATGAACAGTAGCATTGTTGCCTGTTACACTATAGAATTTACACTTACACCTACATTATATTGTCGTGTTATTTGCAGATTGCACGGTGGAGACAACGTCCAAATAAAACGGTACTTCGTGTCATTTTGGAACGGAGTCGATCTGCGCTACAAACTGCTCAAAGGGCCTAGAATAAGGATATCCATAGCGGGAATTATTATATCCAGGGTACGTGTTATTTTATTAATACAATGAATGCGCCATCTGTATATAGCCAGTTATATATTCTGGTCGTAGAACACCAGTGTCATGTATTGCCATGCCAAGGAACGCAACAGCAGCCAATTTTTGTATGCTAATCATAGACAATACATATGCTAATACAACTAGGCATATTAATTTAAACTAGCTATCCCGAAAGGCCTTGTTATGTCAATAGCAACTACTAATCAACTTGATGGCACACCAAAGATAATCCTAACGCCATATTGTTTTAAGCTTTTGCGGTCATTTACATTGATAGTTTTTCGCGAGATCTCGTGAAAAACTTGTCACTGACATTTTTTTTTGTGTTTCTGATAGGAAAGGAAAATTGTTGTTTTATTACATATTTTTACGATTTTTTTAAGGTCCATAAGGATTTTCCTCAGATTTTATCAAACACAACAAAAAAATAGCCAAATCGGTGCATTCGTCGTCGAGTTTGTCGCTTAGCGACACATTTAGCGATTCGTTTTTATTTATAGATATAAAAAATATAATAGTTATAGATTTTCGATTAACATAAAAAAAAGAAAAAGAAGAGTTTTACGTTCATTTATTCGAACAAAAATCATATATAATTCAAACATTTCCTAATTAGTCGTAGTCAGTTTGAAGTCGACCATCTCGTCAGTTTCTATACAAAGCTCTTCTAGTAAAGCCTTCTTTGATTTAGGATAGCCTTCTAGCACTGCTTCCAAAATATCGCTGGATATTCTTTTACGTTTTCTGAAAATATTCATATATTTATCACCTCGTATTTTGAATAATACTTACCTATATATTATCACATGCATTTTTTTAATCAACATGCATTCTAACGACGTATGAAAATACGCCTATAAAATACATTAATGTGAAAAATACAAATCAAACTATGTAGTTTTTTTGTGAGTTTTCTCCATTAAACTACATAAAAACCTGCCTTAATTCTCTTTTTTTACATTTTTTATCTGTATTTATAATCAGTATCTTAACTGGAAATAAAAAAAAATACTGTATTTCAAATTATATTTAGAATTTATGCGAACTTACATAATAATAATATATTAAAGAGAACCCGCACTGATTTTTTTTGTTAAAAAAAATGCTTTGCAATATATTCATTTTACTCTAAAAAATCATGCCACAGAACGAATAAACAGTCTCTCTCTGCGAAATTTTTAATAGCATATAAGTAAAAGTGAAAAACGATTTGAAAATATTTTTTTAGTGTTCGGAGGTACATTTTTCAACATTTCGTTAAAAATAAGATTTTAGATAGAACCTTTTGTTCTGCGAGGTCAAGAAACTATCACAAATACTAGTTTTCGGGTGGGTGACGGAAAAATACCGATCTCAAGACGCTCTGTGTACGCTAGGTCTCGTGGTAGATCGTGGCCAGTTTTTTCTAAGGCAAGATTATATCAATTTAGCCCATGCCACGTAGGTGTATATTATTAGCATGGGACCAGCAGAGCGTCCGCCCAACTCTCTAGCCGCAGGATACGATATTTTAGCGATGCTATGACGATATTTCGTTTCATGTTACTACTTTGATGTGTCATTTGATGGTTAATTGAGGATAAATCACTAAATTGGTAATATGTACTATCCAAACATGTTAAAGTAATAAAACGAGAATTATATGGAATATGCACTTTATTAACTTTATTACATTAGTGACGTCCCGCGTGTCATAGGAATACATGAAACCGTTTATTACCTATAACGTGGCGTCACTCGATGTGGACTAAATATAATTTCCCTTTTATCCATGTATTGTGCCATAAAATTGAGGACATAAATTTACCGGTTACCATACCTATATTCCTTAAACAATTTCTGATGTTGATCTAAAATAAGTTTCTTCTCATCAGCACTTATCACCGCAGTAGAGTTCCTCAAAGTGTTCAATTTTATCTCCATACTGTTGATTCTTTGCTTAGCCTGGTCTATTTGAGAAAGAGCAGCCAAGGTCGTCGGCGCAGAAGTAAGAATTTTCAGTTTCGATTCGACGCTTTTTAGTTTACTGATGTTTTCTTCTAACAATTGGCTCAAACATTTTAACTGACTGTCATAGTCTGTATTAAAAAACATGTATGATTTGATTGGTCTTTGAGTATAAAATTAATCTTTATTATTTTTATATTCAAAGGCCTGGCTGTTTGATGAAAATACGCTCAATAGTAAGGGAAAAAATAACTGTAAAAGATATTCATCAGTCCTGATGGGTCTCGGGCAGCTCAAGGGTTAGAGCAGTCGCAATTGCGAAAGCTTGTGCGTTCGGGTCCCATATCGGGGTGGGACTGGTGATTTATAGAAGCATTTATTCATTACAAAATATAGCCATAGCTAAATAAGACCAATAAATGTATTAGAAACATCACATCATCAGCCACTACTGGGGCTCAGACCTTCACTTTGGATAGAATGTAATCTAATAAGGAGAATGGGCTATGACCCACCATGCCTGCCCAGTGTGGATAGGTAGGTGTTAGCGACCGCAGATGCACCGGGACTAACGACCTAACGTAGCTTCCGAAGCACGGGGAGCTCAAGACATTTTTGGACACCCACCCTATTACCGACCCTTGCAAAAGTTGCTTATCATCCGCACCGCAGACTGAACGCATTAAGCACTACACTCGAGCTCCTCTTTATTGGATAACATCGCATAAATTACTCGACCGGGAATCGAATCTGGGACTTCAGACATGACGCACCCTTGAAATCACATGCAAGCCACACAGCTACGAAGGTCGTTGGACATTATGCTTTATACGAGTATCTGTGAATAATCTCCAAAAGACATTTTGACTACTTCGCTGTTGTATCGTCGTTTTTAAAGTCCCCAATTTGATTATTGATCCCCAATTAGGGAGCATTATTGTCTCGAATTTTATTAATAAGTAAGTAGGTGCTTAGTAAAAAAGCAAGAGTTAATGAATGTTCCACGAAATTTTATTTTTAAATATGTACTGTACCTTACTTACCTTCAACATCAGTGTCATTCTCTTTATTGTCTTCTTGTAGAGCAACGTAAACTTTTTGTTTGCCATACAATTTACATCGGATTTTGCCGCTTTCTACCAAAGCGTCCAGTGTTTTTTGTACGACTGTCTTTGTGTACGCACCACGCAAGTTCACTGTTACATCAGCACATGAATACGGACGATTTGTGTCAACTAAATACTTTAAAATTGCTTCACTTGCCATGTTTTCAAATATTAAGATTGTTTTCGGAAATTTCTATGCTAACTTATGTTTTAAGTTGCCGCCATTTCAAATCTCCCATAGAGTCAAAGATATTAATGACAAAGAAATAGATCACATTCCGCCATAAATTCTCGACTAAGCAAGCAGCTTAGTCAACAGTAAATGGCAGGCAAAAACAGAACCTGAAACAAAAACTGGAAATCGCTAATGCACATTTCTAATAATATAATTATTATGAATGTTTCATATCATCATATAAAATTAAAACAAGTAAATAACGATATGCATAAATTAGAACACCTGCAATGAATTATAAGATTAACGACGAGGGTTATATTAATTAGCTCAAAAATTTGAAATAAAAGATTGAATAAAAAGATAGAGAAAATAAAAATTAATAATGAAGCCCCATAACTGGTTTAGTTACTAGCTTGCTTATTTAACGGGTGACCCGATAAATGTTATGCTTTCAAGGTTAAGAAAGTTATTCGACAGTCAAATGTGAATCACAAATAACCTGTTTTCACTACACCTGACGAACTGAATGTTATCGTATTTGTATGAAAATGTTGATAAAAACTATACATTTAATTGTTATGTTTAGTTTTTTTTTTTAACATGAATATCTATCTATAAAGGATCGTCTCTACTTTTCATACATTGATTGACTCTCATTTGTTTTTTTAAAGGTTAGTAATAATTTAAAATAGATTTTGCTCAAAAAAGAATAATATCTTAGCATTTTTTCATTTGCAAGCCAGGGAGACTCGTAATTTATGAATAATGTTTTGAGGTTTATAACAGCCGTCAAAACTCGAGATAATTGTGAAGGTATTTTAAAAACTAATGCATTAAAATCCAAACTTTTTATATTTTGATTCGTAAACATAGAAATAAATCTACATATAGTTGTTAATGTGCACTTTTTAACCTTATGATAAAAGAATACCTATTTTTTCCGTAGTAGATGAAAAGAAACTTAGCAAACCGTCATTGGGTCCGAATCGCATTGGGTTAGTATAGCAAACCATCATTTAAGGGTTCGAATCTCATTCGGGTAGTAATCATAGGACTAACTAAAAATAATTATCAGCCTCGCAATTATTATCCTGGCTTTATTTTAAGATTTATTTCCTAATATGAAATAATTAAATAATAAGTATTTTTTGAGATATAGCACATCACTAGACACCTTAGTAATTTTTAGGTCAAAATTGGACATGTTTTTTTCCATATTATCTAATATATTATCTCTTTGATGATCCAAAAAAATCTGTAACCAACTATGAATTTTTGTCAATATAGGACTAAATAACCAAAATTCAACACCTAGATGGTGCGCTTGCAATTGATTCGTTGTAAAAATAATTTCATTAAACGAGTAGAATACGCCAATTAATAATAGTAAACGTATGCTCTATAACGCATTTTAAATGTTGCAGGGACGTGATGCTACGCCATATTTAGAAAGGAATCGTGTTGGACGCGATGCTATAGATTCCGCTGCAGCCCTTACAGACATGGGCAAGTATCTATTCAGAGAAAGGAGACTGCCAGTCTACGATATTGCTGTTGCCATCACGAAGTAAGCTCATTATTGATATTTGTGTTACTATTACATTTAATAATTATTAAAATCATATTTGCAATATATACGAACTCAATTTTCAATGTCATATCTTCACTAAAATTAATCTTGTAAAAATAAAAAGTAAATGATCTCTCTTTCTATTATCTAGCAGAAAGACATTTAAAATACTAAGTATGAAGAAACAAATATGTAAATGTAACTAATTAGAAACTGCAAGTCTAGACCAAGAACATGTACCTGTTATACATAACTAAGAGCTTTACTAGTGAAACACTAATTAGGTTTGTCTACATTAAATAACCAGAATTAAAAACGATATCAATTTTATGAAATTAAATAAATAAGTATACTTTAATATCCTTAATGAAAACTCAAGGAGACTACTTGTCGTGGGTTCGAGTCTAATCTCCGAGTACCAGGGGCAAAGCGGATTTTTTAAGCATTTTTCATTAAGAATATTTTCCAGTATACCATTGTGAAAGAAAAATTGATCAAATATAATAGTATTCTTTAAATTAGTTAATTAAATGTATATCATGCTAGTTGCTCCAGAGTACATGCAGCATTTGTTTATCATAAAGATTTGAATAGAGCATTTTTAGTTGACTTGGGTAGTAGTAAGTATAAGACACAGGTATTTAATTTTGTAATGCTGTATGACAATAATTTTATTTATGCAGTTTATCATTGACGTATCAACGCTGGAAAGAAAACATGTAATAACCTGGAAAACCATATTTGCTCTGGCAGAAAAACTTTTTATTAAAAAAAAAAACTGTATTTTATAACTTAGGTTTACTATATTTATTACTATGGATTTTCATAAGATATTTTAAAAGAAAAATGCATTCTTACATATAATTCGATGTCTGCTAGAGAATGAGTTATTGCATTAAGTCTGCAATTTTTGCATTTGAAAATATTCCACAATAGTAAATTATTATCATTATTAATATTTTTAATTTTTAATGTACTTTGCCATTGGATAAATCAGGTAAGTCGGTGAGTATTTTGTATTTACATTATTTTATTATTAAATTAGATGTTCTAAATATGATTTAGCGCCATTATAGCATTAGGCCTTAATATCCTAAAGCTGAATGAAGTGAAATTGATTTCACCAACAGGTATGACATGTGCCGCCGTCGCAAGGGTGGTCGCTGTACCAAAGGCACCGCTGGTAAATTTATTTCAAACAAAACATTTACATAGGATGGATTGCGAGTGGTTATCAGCTCTGCATTAACCGAAGCTTATATACCAGTGACATTAATTCGGCTTCATAATTTTAAGGTTAAGGATTTTGGTAATGGCGCTGAATATTTTTTCTATGTGCAATTAGGAAGTCAAGAAATCCAGGGTTAATGCGGACGTTCGTTTCATTTCTGTTATAAATGTTGGGAACGTGTGCGATGTTGTAATAGGGTCGGTATGACCTGACAGTTGAAAATTTAATTTGAGATTTATCTATTTCCCTAAACTTTCAGACTAGACATGTGCAGAAGACAATACGCGAACGATGCTTGCAATAGAGGGACGGCAGGTAGGCGTGTGTTTCTCTAGATTCAGTATATTCCAAAAGCACGCCTTTTATATCATCAATGTCCCACCACTCCTTTGTACACAGTTCCCTGGTGTGATCATTATCCGCCTATCGTGTACCTTTACCATGTCATGGTATCATTATATTCGCACCTTGTGAATAATAACTATCTATACAACAGTTAGACCTCTTCTACCACACTGTATATTTCTGTTAATATCTTTCATGTAGATACTGTACCTACCTATACTTCAGAACTAGATCTTTATGTAGCCTAGTCATTCATCGTATTTTATTCTTATAAATCGTATTTCGTATGTCGTCTTAAAACCATTAAATGTACTTACCTACTGTGTTACTTTCGTATTTCAGTTGTTCTATTTCTTTTTTGTAAAAAATGCTTTAGCGAAAATCACTTGATGTAGCAGATTATTTTGTCATTTCATGATGAAATGAAATCTTTTCTCACCTTTAATCTTAGCTTGAATGATTATTTTTTGTTATAAAAAGGCGACACTAATCAATGTGCGCATAAAGTAGTTGAAAAAAGCAACAAAAAATTTCAAATACACCATTGAAACACCCCTTTCAAAGATGGTCTTAAATTTGTTATGATATTTTTGATGCTCATATTGCGATTATTACTTTCAAAAAACATCAGCGATTATAGAATATAAGTATATATAATACATATCCGTTTTTATAATAATAGAGTTTAAACATAGTACTGTATTATCAGTATCAGTCGGACGTTGTCATTGCAGAATAGATAATGTAAATATGTTATCTCGATTTAGATACTAACGTAATCGAGTTTCTACTAACCTGTACCTGTACGAAAATAAACGATATAGTCTGTGACAAACAAAAAATGTCGCTCTGCTCTATGCTTAATAAAATGGCGGGAATGTGCAATTCTTATTAATACCACTTGCTTGGATAATGGAATTAACTGTACAATAAATAAAACGGTGCACGCACATTATATAAAATTATAACTAATACCTGATGGAATGTACATACGTTTATTATAAATATGTAGTTTTAAAACCTCGCTTCAAGAAATACTTAGACAGCTTCATAAGATTGTAATTTTCTACCATACCTTCTCTTTCTCTACTAACACTATTAAAATAATTTATTTTCCAACACAACAAACTGCATGACTCCACACTGAAGGTATATATTAAACATACTGTATCATACTATCTAATTCCATCATGTACCAATTGTAAGTATCTATGTTTATCTACTCATGATTCGCCAAACTCTTCAGCATCACCATCAATATGTGAGTAGTATCCAAAAATATACCATTTCCTACACATGTCCTTTGTTCTCATTTACGTCTATGTTCATAGTTTATTGTTTGAATATTGAGAAAGAATCATCGTATAACACAATTTTCGTTGAATAAATAGGGTTTGCGTACGTCGGTGGTGCTTGTGTGGTGAACAAGAGATTGGAGAAGGTGAATTCTGTCGCCATAATTGAAGATACGGGCGGTTTCTCAGGAATAATAGTTGCCGCTCATGAAGTTGGACATTTGTGAGTAGTTTTAATTTGTTTAGGAAATTAATAAATGTGAATATTGTTCCAAGCAAATGGAAATGACTAATATTTGCATTATTCACTGCAAAATTATCATTTAATTTAAGATCTCTATAGACGAGAATATAGATATCAAGTTATTCCGTTATAACCCAGCGAGCTATCTAAGTGCTCATAAGGGTGACAAGCACAGGCCACTTCTAACAGCTAAATTCCTATCCATTTAATAAAGAAAAAGTGATGGGGCTCATGCTTTCCCTATGGGTTGGAGTTGAAACATCCACTTGCAACTAGTGGGCGATTGCTGTTCCTAGCTGTCAATGGTCGGTCAATATTCTATTGACCAATAAGATAGCGCGTAGAGGTCGCCCGCACTCCGCGTGCTATCAACCAGTGTAAATGAGACTAGGACCGGAAGGTGGTCTCAATTGGTTATAACAACCGGTTAGGGAGTCTAAAGGGGAATTGTTTTTCTCCGAGCTGAGAGTTGCAAGCTCGGGATTGTGGTCGCAATAGTAGGTGTAGTGTAATTTCGAAGTGTACATATATTAAGTGGCGGCGAAGCTTTGTTAGCGCGGTTCAGGTATCACCTCGTGACTGATTAGCAAGGTAAGATGGCGGTAAGATAAATATTCACTTGTAGATTGGGCGCTGTGCACGACGGTAGTCCGCCTCCGTCATACCTGGGCGGGCCGGGCGCTGAGAAGTGTCGGTGGGAGGACGGATTCATCATGTCCGATCTCCGGCACACGGAGAAGGGATTCAGGTGGTCGCCTTGCAGCGTGCAGAGCTTCCACCACTTCCTAAAGTGAGTAACGAATGTCCTAGATATCTCATTTATGCCCTCAGCGTAAAGTTCACATCCCTATGTATCGCAGCAGCTGTATTATTGTATTTTTTTTTTTCAAGTTGTCACTTGGTTCGATTCCCAATCACGTAAATATAGAAACTAACATTGTTGTCTTGTGATACCACCGTTATTTCAAACTTCTATAATACAAGTAGTAAGTTTAGCTACTTAATTTGTATTCTGAGCAATGGTAGTGATATTTATTTTAAAATATGTTTTGTATATACAGCGGCGACACGGCGACTTGTTTATATAACTCTCCCCATGAAGACGACTCATTACCGCGGGTGCTACCAGGAAGGTTGCTCACATTGGACGCTCAGTGTCGGAAAGATAGAGGCACCAGGTAATTAACCTCTTTCACTTGAATTTGATAGGACCAAACTTAAATTTAGATTGGTTAGTTGAACGGAATTGCTACCAATATTTCATATAACTCATTGCCAGTATCATTTGCAAACTAGGTCGCTCTAGGCTAGATGGTTCTACCCGCCCCCTTTTAGCTGACATAATTTAGGCACTGCAGATGAAATTACTTTCTTAACAACGTATATTGAAATAGTTTAAAAAAAATCTTGTATTTATGTCGTGGTGTAATAAAATTATTTTTTATCTTATCGTTGGTATATGTTATTTTAGAATAGACATGTCTAGTATGCCTATTATTCCATGAAAATACTATGAAACGTGATAACAACTGAATAAATTTAAGAGTATATTTTGGATAAGCAAGTTAAGATACAATTACCAACAACTGGTATTTCGTCATTCAGATTTTGGCACACAATATTGTAAGTCATTATTTACAATATTATATGTTATATGTTGCACTTCTCTCAGCGAGAGATCGATCGAAATAGAATAATTATAAATATACAGGGTTATTTATAAAACACAATTTCGCAAAATTAAATAGCTAACATAACATTATAAATAACAACCATTGTTCTATGAACTGATTAATTTCGTACACTTTCATAAATACTTCACACATTGCTTTATTGCAAAAAATATTTTAATTTAACATACCCTACTCACACCCAGTAGGTATCTCATATGTGGATAGTTCATCAATAATTTTTTTAATACACATTGAGCTGTGTTAAAACTCGTAGACATGAGCTGGTGTTTTGATGACCCTGTATAAATAGATGGTTTTTGTTTCTACCAATGTAATGAATCTATGAAATAAAAATGTATTTATTCAAATAAGTTTGTTTCGAGAACTATGGAATCGCCCAAAAAAAATTTTTCCCCTACCACTTGTTCAGGACGTCTTTTAGCTGACAAGAAGAACAAGCGAAAGAAACTCACCAGCTCTTTATCATAACTAATTAAATTTACATACATCATGTCATTACCAAAATGGTACGTAATATAACAATAATAAATACAACATTCATTATAACTATGTATGTATATGATTAGATTATTAATAATGTTACAATCGGTTTGTTCAGCGCGTGCTTCAAGGACGAGCGCGTGTGCGCGCAGTTGTTCTGCTTCGACTCGGCGAGCGGGTACTGCGTCGCGTACCGCCCCGCCGCGGAGGGGTCGCCCTGCGGGGACGGACAGGTGACACGCACACACGCGCACACATACCTATATACACGACACACACACACGCATACACAGTCATACTAAATATACAAATCAATTCATACACACGTTACAAACACGTCATATTTCAATATGAAAAGAGGATATGTAAATAAAAAAAAATAGTAGCAAACAAAATGTGAAATCTAGATATTTTTGTCACAGGGCAAATACTTCAACACATATTGTTTAAACAGGCCGCAGTCAATAATCTTAGAATGATAATATAAAATAGATTTTTAAAAGAATAATAGATACAAGGCGATGAAATATTTGATAATAATTGTAATAGGACTTAAATAAAATTGATTTACATAAAAATGTACGGAAAAGCTTTCTAAAGATTTATATTATGCACAAACCTTTCATTAAATTCAAAAAAATTCGAAATCTCACAGTCACAATAATTATTTACCGTTAACGCTAACACATATACATTACCACGTAAATGTATATTATGTAGTCTGTCACACCACATGCAGACAAACTTAACTACTTTACTGTGTAATCTATTTCCGTAACACGACTTTCAACTAACATATTTTTTTTTTTTGTAATAATTGTGCAATAAATATTTGTTCAATACTTATTTGAATATTATAATCGTCAGTATTGTATCAACGGACGGTGCATAACCGAGCACGAGAACATAATCCCGGACTATTCGCAGCACACGCCAAGCTATGTACGACCAGAGACTAGCCCCTTCTATGGTAACATCACAAGGTAAATATATGTATCTATATTATTTGCATAACTAAATTAATTAAAATAATATATAATTTTTTTGTATAATTTGAATTATCAGAAATTATGTTATTGACAATTGATTTGAATAATTTTAATTTTTACTATAATAAAGAATATATAAAAAAAGCATAAAAAATATAATGATAAGTTATACAGGGCTATTAAAAAAATAAATAATCTCTCTTCCAGCTAACGAAACTTTTGATATAAAGATTTACAGTTTTTTTTTTCATAAAATAGATAGATAAATACATAAAATAGAGTTATAAATATGACGAGAGTACAATAAAAACTTGGAAAATAATTTCTGATCAATGTATTGAATTGTGTTAAAACCCATTGATCAAATGTTGGTTTATGATGTTTGGCTATCTATACCAGTGAGTTGGGCGGTATTGTACTAATGACCCTGTATAAAAATAATACAATACATTTTGATTACTATTGTATTTATTTTTTATTAAGTTTTATTCGATAAATTTTACTCAAAGTTATAAAATGAAGACAGAATCGATTAAGATAATGAAAAAAGACTGATTGAGATTTTTTTCATGCAATATGTGACCGATTATACTAAACATTAAATCATAGCTATTAATACATAATGTAACGCGTGGTGGATATTAATCACAATACTGACTTTTAAAATGAGATGTCACCATCATCTCAAACAATCAACTTGTGTACAATCGCGAACACAAGTCTTTTCTTTTAATTAATGGCAGGTGAAGTCTTGACTGTAGTAAAAATCTAGCCTTAATTGGCAATCGACTAATTATTGTTTTAACCGAACGCAGTTACGAAGAGACAACACCGTACACACCGAGTATACACACAGAAAATTACAATCAAAACACAACAGTATCGTCGACTACAGAGAATTACACAACAAAGAAACCTATACCGACCACCGAGAAAACAACACAAACACAAGCGACCAGTACACATCCGCCGTCCATAAACAAATATTCTATATCAACGACGAGGAGTCCGTACGATTTCAAAGATTTCTATTCGAGAACAACAAAACCGACACCAAGACCGGAACCGAAAAGAGGTTTCTACAATAAGGATGACTTCGACAGCTACTTTAAGCCGACAACGAAAAGTCCGTATCCGGATAAAGGCGTCAAATCAATTTTCAAATTCGGAACTTATTATTCGACAAAACCGAAATCGAACGATAATTCAATAAGGCCGGACGCCAATTCGCAGCAAGTGCAGATAGAGCCAGCGAGACTCGTTTACTCGTACCAGAGGAATTTGACTACGGGCGAAGTGGTACGGCAATAGAATATAGCGCTTACCGGTAAGAGTATAAAGTTCGGAATGCATTGGAGTCATATCTATCGTCATGGACCTTCCAGCTCATGCATCACTCATCGTTTCGGAACGTTCAAAGCTTCATTTAATTTGACATTGAAGTTGCGTTTTGAAATGTTATCTCTGAACAGCTCACTTCCTTATTTCAGGGTTTTCGGCTGATGTAAATAATTTCTAATATCATAAATCCATCGAATTTTATATGAAATGAATGTGTACATACATTACTACTTTTTCACTTTACATATCTTAATAGGTAGACACATTGTACAGTCAATAACAAAAAGTGTCATCAATTTAAAAACAAAATAATGTGCTTGCTAAATTAGTGAATTTTGAATTAGTGACTAAGAATTTTGCTATTGACTGTATTATTACATAAAGCTACGTGATTCAAAACGTGTGCATTACATTATTTATTACTTTGACAAAATGGTTCTGATAAATAGCCACAAGTATTATGCCACACAGTCTATCTTATTACTTTTCTAATTTCTTTATTTTATTTTATAAAATCTGGTAATGAGCTCGATGTAATACATAAATAATTTTTTCAGCAGTTTAATGCCAAATTATTTTTACGTTAAAAAACACATAGTACATTAAAAGAAGTATCGAGTGCATGACTGCTGTGAACCACATTCTTTCAAAAGCATTTTAACCTATTAAACTACTAGGGCGTTTCAATCGATCGATTTGATTTCCTATTGCACGCATTAACCTTCCAACGGCGTGGTACGAACAACAATAAATCTCCTCATTTTTTTCTACCACAAAACAGCGTACAATCTAGCTCATTACCTGAATTGTATATATATTGGCGTCTTGCATTCATTAAGCATGCATCCACATCACCATCTACTGAACTGTGAAATCTGCATTAGATTCAATAAATAGCATGCAATATCAACCCGAATGTTATTGACATATCACAACAAAATTTAAAATTATTATTGCATATCGAATCCAATTTATTAATTAGACTGTACAATAATTAAATTATGTTACATAACTTTTTTATTTTGTGCATTTTTCAGCAATCACTAAACTGCCAGTTGCACCAAAATCCATTAAAATTGTCATTAGTTTAAAGCGACATTACCCATACAAATTTGACATTCATTAGTGTTTAAAGGCGTCTTTAAACGTTAATGGACGTTTATGCAACTGACTTTTAATGAAATTTGTTATTTCCATACCTAAATTCAACTATTTATCTGGCACCACAGTATATAACTATTATGCATAACATTTGTTTGTATTTCAGCCGCCACTAATGGTAGGAGCGGGCCGAGCACAGAAAGACTGCCACGCCGGCGACGGACAGACGCCGGTACTCTATATAAAAAAATGTTGGTTACCGCACATCCCGAACATTGCGAACATAACATTCGCACTGACAGACAGTGTGAACGAGACAACGATGTAACTGATAAGTTCGTATTATAAATATACTAGGACTTCGTCAGTGTAAAAAACCTTTTTTTGTACGTATTTAGTTCCAATTTATGTCACTTTGATTGTTACAAAAACTTGTATAATTTTTAATAATATCAAAATTAAATGAGTTTAAAAAAAAAATTATAACACTATAGAAGTTGACAGTACTTTTTGTAAAAATGAATGTTGCAATTTTTTACTTTTTGTATAATCTTATATTATTATAATTAATGATTAATATTGCAATAAACTTGTGTGTGTACATAAAATAATTAATAAGTTCTTGTTATATGTAATTATTTCATTCATTTAATTTTCAGGTTTAAATAAACTTGTGTTATTTTTATTTTTTTGTATTGTATTATGTCTCTTTGTAACTATAAAATAAACATGTGATTTAAACGAACAAATAATTCAATTGCAACGAATTTTAATTAAATATATATATATATATATATATATATATATATATATATATATATATATATATATATATATATAAGAGTTCAATAAAAAACGCAATGAAATAAATATATTTTTTGTAATCACAACGAATTTTTTTTTTATAAATAATATAATAATATATTATGTGATATTTTGAACAAATACATACATTTATAAATAAATAAGATCAAGCAGATGGGATTGCTTTGCTTGTTTTTATTTCAATAATACTATTAATAAAATAATGTTTAATAATATTGTAATTACAGCTGTACCTATGGGATGTGCGTTTATGTGTGTGCGTTAAAATGTGTCCTGAAGACAAAAAGAAACTTAAATGAAAGTGTCAGGCGCAACTCTATGAGTGATATTATGTGATTGTTTTATTTTAAAAGAGATCTGAACTTTTTAAGTACATTTAGTTTTAGATTATTAAATAAATCTGACGATACGCGAGTGATCTGAAATATTTTATGATAATACTCTGAGAAAAATCAATCTATGTTTTAATAGCGTTACGCTGATAGAAAACTGCCACGACGTGCCTTTTACACGATGTGTTTCTTTATTGCCCGAGAAAGTTATGAAAATTCACTGGATTTTTTTTTAAATTTAATATTTGATATCCAAACTCATGAACTTTTCAATAAAATCTGTCAAATTTCTCCGCTTGATTTTGACCCTTAATGTTATATGAGAAATTGACATATTGTGGTAAATGACGTGCTGCCATGTGTACACAAAGAGCCAACACAAGATGATTTATAAGCTAAAAAAACTTTTTTGTCATTGAAAAATAGGTTTGTTACTACAAAACGCCTGTAGAATTGATATTTATCTTTAAACCGTAGGTCGTAAAAGTCAATATTGATTACTTAATTTGCAGTGTTATTCTGTAATAAAATCTGCGCTGTCACAGCAAAGAGGTTTAATCGTTTGTTAAACCTCTATTTTCTTTTTGGAGTTTTTTTTTTCTTCTTTTGGCGTCACACGGTTTGTGTATTTGCCAGTCTTTTTGGAGTTTATTTGTTTGAACCTCTATTCTGGGTTAGCGATGCGTTCAAGTGGTACACATTTTTTTAATTACGAATATAAACTTTCTCGGGAAATTAAAAATTCACAGTGTATTCAAATATATTGTTAAGAGCAAAAGTTGATAATTTTTGCGAAATAAGTTGCATATTAGTGTATTATTTTTTGTGTGTTTAATAATTATCGTTTTAAGTGCGACTGGATCGCTGCTGACTTCGACTATTTTTATTTTTCACGTTTTTTTTTTATATTAGTGAATAATTTTATTTTTCACCCTGTTTTGTCAAATTATTTGGAATTTTATTTTATGTAATAAAGATTAATGTTATGATTTAATTAAGCTGTTTTATGAGAACTATTTATATGTGACATAGGTCTTTAATTTTAAAGTTACCAATAGAATAAAAAAAAATGTTAAAAAAAAGACAAATTCGATGATTGACGATAATGACTTATCGATGATTTACTGTGGATTTTTTTTTATATAGAAACTGATACATCACTTGCCGTTTTAATTATTTATTACGTTCAAACTATTTATGTATAAATAAATATATTCTTGTAACATCACGAATGTCTAAATTTTAAGAAAAAAATATAAAATAACGAAACATTGAATATTGTCGTTTTATTATGAACTCGCACCTTCCCATGTTGATATTATTCAATTTTAAACTTACAGAGTTTTACAGATTTCTTTCTACTACTCATACGAGTTAACATGACACCTGGCTCGAACTTGATATCCCCCCGCGCGACATCCCGCTGTCGCCTTTCAGTAGCGAAAGTATAACAGTTGGCATTTAATACGCCTTATTGGGCTATGAAATTTTTTGAAAAAATAATATTTGTCGGTATTAATTAATGAACTATTTATGAATAGCAGCAATGAATGAATCAATTGCTGCTATTGTTTTTTTAAATAAAGATGACAATGAAAGTAATACGTAGAAAATAGAGGAAAATTATAATAACGGTTGAGCGTAAAAATTAACTCCTAATTATTTATTTGTGCTTTTTTCCGTCGAAATGGAACTATTTAAATTATTTTCAGAACATTGTCATAATTCACTAATCGCATTAATTAACAGACGTGTGTCCGTTATGTACCGCGGCCCTTCAAGCATGCTTTGCAGACACTTCTTAATAGCCAGGTGTCATGTTAACTCGAGCGAGTAGTAAGATCGCGACCAAAATCATCAACTTTAAAATATTTTTTTACAAAGAAATAAGATTAATATTCCAACTTTCTTAATATACCTTCAAGGTTAAACTCAGTCGATACTAAGTTATCTGTAGTATCTATAGATATAGAAGGTAGAAGCGAGATCGATTAGAAATGTTCAAGACATCTTTTCGCGCAGTTGCACAAACGTCCATTAAGGATTTGATGACACCTTTGAGCTCTAATGAATGTCAAATTTATATGGGTTATTAAGCTTTAAACTAATAAAAAATTTAATGTACGTTTCTGCAACTCACTGTTAGGTTGGGTGACAAGAAGAACGAGCGAAGATAACTCACCAGTTCCAATCAGAAGTAAAGACATTTATATATATCATACAAATGCCAAATAGAAAGAAATAATATGGTACCATAAATAAAATAAAACACATGTCACGTATTACCGAACACCGATTTTATTAATTAATCTTATAAAAAAAATGTCATGCCTCTTCATTTCTCCCTAAAAGCAATATTATTATTAATGTTGACATAAATATTGTATACGCAAAAGTATAAAAAGTAATTCTTTTTGTCAGGCATAATTATTTGAAAAATTTTACGAATTTAATATTCAACTACCAAGAATTATTTTCAATTTTAGAAACGCCTGACTAAATACAAGCGGCAAATATGCACAAACACGTTACGTTCGGATATTTACTAGAATTTCGTTCTTAACAAAACGCCCTCTATTGTGACAGTGTTTTAGTGGATGACCACCAGATGCTAATCTTGACGGTTAACTTTGAAATAATGAAATACTCAGTCTTGGTCATCCACAAATATTTTAAATCACTTACTTATTTACCTATTTTGTGCAAGAACATTGTGTTACCCTGGGAACTGTATTTTCTTTAGTAAATTATATGTTTAAAAATCGGATGGTAGGTATTACAGAAAAAGTAAATTATCCCACAAACATACCTATTCTATCTACAAAATATACAAAAATCTACTTTTTTATATAAAAATAATTATTGCATGCGGTTTACTGCCCTCGAAATTCGCAGACAACGTTGAGACTTTACACGCATCGTTTTAATTGGATTTATTTACCAATTCTAAATACATATGGTAATTCAATGAGACACTTATTAGATATAAGCAAAAAATTAAGTACAAAATTATATATTCATTTAACTAACCTTAAATACTTTTAAGTTAAATTTATGCTGCTTTGTCAAATTAAGTAATAGTATTATTATGCATTTTCAGGCACAGTTTATTACAGAGAATTTCAAATTAACGCATTACATCCACCTCTGCCACCATCCAATTATTTTTTCTAAAGTAATTTTTCAATATTTTTACAAGTAAACCACACACAAATAACTAGTCGAGGTAAAAATAAATGAAAACAATTAACCAGTTTTCACAGGTAGCGCTGAAGTGTTGGATCCGACATTTTTCAACACCAGCTTAGCCAACATACCTACTGATAGACAGAACACTAGGCCGGCCGGCATGAACTTTCTGCTGTTGTAATATCTGAAAAAAAAAATTATCATATTACTACTTGAAGCAAAACTTTGAATCGCTCTTTACAAAACTTTTTAAATTGTTTCAAACAACTTTAAAAATAACAAAGTATATTGTTTACAATGTAAACATTTAACAATATAATATAGAATATAACCAAACACATATTGTTACCTGTAACCCATTAGCCCCCCTAGTGTAGTGGTAGTGCCCAACATCAATCCATAATTGGAGGGATCCTGGCTCAGCTGGTATGCCCCAACTCCTAAAATGTACAACATCAATAATTACATCGCACACATTAAGGTTAAATATTGCACTCATAAATAAATTAAATGCTCGGTGGCGTAGAGGATAAGCGCCGCGACCCGCGATCGTCTTAGTTAAGCAACTTTCGCAAAGGTCGGTCACGGGTTGGGTGACTAAAAAAATTATGGAAGGCACGTTGGTCCCGGCTGTATTTGCAGTCGGTAACACTCTCCGATCCGCATTGGGCCAGCGTGGCAGGTCATGGCCCTCTTCCTTAACCATCTATTAGGAAGACCTGAACCCCTGCAGTGGATACGTAGAAGGGCTGATGATGATGATGAAATAAATTAAAATATAAAATGAATTTATATTTAGGTTGAACCGGATTTACTATAGTATATTACTTACCAAGAATTGATCCAAAAATGATGCCAGCCCCTAGCGACGGTATGGATCCTGGAAGTGTTTAATTATATCTTATTGAACAGTCAACATCACGTCGGTTTATCACGAATCTGCTTAATTTCCCCACTTCATTTTAAACCTTGAGGGTCCTTGTATCTCTGCTTACGATACGTATCGAGAGTAAAGAAAAGACGTGCTCGCTTGATTTCATACATTTTTAATAACAGAAAAGAAAACAAATCCGTTTATAACAAAAAAAAAACTGTGATATTACATTATATGAAAACATATTTTTTTTTATCATCAATCATGTAAAATTTTCATAACATAATTTTTAAAACTGGTATAAAAAGTGATAACTTTATACAATCTCGCGTTAAAGCTTTGAGAATAGTTTAAAATCAAGTGCAAGAATTTGCCATACGGTGGTAACTTGATGTGCAGTTATGTCTAGAGTAGAACACTAGTTGAAACATTGATTTTTGGTTTACTTCTTACAATACTTTAGAACAACACATATTCAATCTATACTAAAATTACAAAGAGAGAAAGGTTTAAATTTTGCTTGTAGCGGGCAAATCTGAAAATACTGATCCGATCATGAAAGTTCTTTCACCTATGAGAAGCTACATCATACAAGTGGCATAGGCTATAACTTATGCAGATAAAGTAGTGGAAAACAATTAGTATTCAAATAAAGAAAATTGAGACGCTGTCTGGTACACTTGGTTAGCGATTACCTTCTGAAATTTTTCTTTGACTGTAATCTCATACTCCTCTATGTTTCATTGGAAGATCGAGAAACACTTAGCTGTTGGTCCTGTTTGCATATGCATACGATATCACTTGCACTACATAGTACATATTGCAACTATACCTATAACTATATTTTACCTTTCCTTAGTTAATTTAGCCAAAGACACTGCTATTTTAGCAAATTTATGACTTTGTTTGTGATGATATTTGTATATGTAAATAATTCAAAACACATTTAAACTTACCAGTTTTAAAGATAAGTTAAACAAAAATAACAACATACCTCAATGTAAATATAATTGAAAAATGTTATAGAAAATACTGATTTTATAAACAAATGATATTATAGTAAAGTTATTATGTATAGAAGATAGAACAATGGTGTTTTGTTAGTAAGAATTAAACAAGTTATGTCTGCCTAGTATGTTATTTTATTGATTTACATCAAACTGTCATGTTTATTATTATATTTAAGACATACTCGCCACGGGTTTGGCCCTTAGGATTATGGAATTTGAGCAACTATGAAAAATTGCAAAAGGTTGTGGCTTCGAATCCCGTCTCAGAGTGCCAGGGATAAAGTGGATTTTTTAAGCCTTTTGTCATTAAGAATATGTTCCAGTATAATATTGTGAATGCAAAATTGATCAAATATAACATTTTTAAATCATTTTGGCAGTGATGAACTAAAGATGTAAGAAAGAACTAGACAAACTAAAGTAAAAAAATATATATATAACTGTATGTTTTCGCCAATACGAATCACCTTAAAAATAGTCAAGACATCGCTCTTCTAGGTGGGCCATTAAATATTGTACAAAAAATTACATAGTCTACTTTTTTTGCCAGTGTAGGCAATTATTGCTCGGCTGGTCCACCCTAATTCAGCCCTGATTGTCAAATGATCTCAAGAAGACATAATAATTTTACATTGACCATAACAAATTGAAATGTTTCTTATAAGTTTTTTAAATTGGTAATAATATAGAAACAAGTCAGCTTAATTTCATAAAATCTACAATGTTAGATTAAATATAATAATCTTTCAATATATATGATGTCACGCACACGATACAAAAATAAAGCGATTGAAATTGGACTACGCTGATAATAAATGTTATCTACATTCAACCACGTTCAAATTATGTCTACTTTCAAATTAATAAGCAATATTGGCAGGAATTGAACATTTTCCAGCAAATATATATATATTAATGAAGTTATATTTTATGAAGAAAATGTTATAGATAAATGTTATAATATTTCAATTCAACACCAACCTGCTTTTGCATAACCCATAATACCACCGGCGGCTACCGTAGCAGCATATGCGAAACTAAGAAAATCGACTCCCATTTTTATACAAATAATATAGCAATCAAACCGGTATTATTTATTCTTATTCAAAGAACAATAAATATAAAAATATCACTTTATTTAAAGTTTGCCTACTACCACAGACTTAGTAGGTATCAGACGACCAACTTCCTAACAAAAAATTTCTTCGTAGAGCGTGATTGGGAGCCAGTGATACATGACAGCATCATTCGTTTTAAATATATAGATCTACTATCGGCAAAGGCATTTAGCTATACAGCCCTGTTTTGGGTAGGTACCTAGCCGTCTTCCTAGTTTCCACATTATTTTTACTTTAATTTAAATTCCTTTTTTGTTTTAATACAACAATAACAATAAAGCAGACTGATAAGTCTAGCTTATTATTATTGTTGTATTAAAACAAAAAAGGAAAAACGAACACGTAAATGAAACACACATTTTTCCAATATTATTTATTGAATAATTTATTTTTTAACTTATTATATTTTACACAGCTTTCTTCTGCATTCTCGGCAATTCTTAGCTACATTTTTTTAGTGGCACAACTTTATGAAACTTTTCAAGGTAATCACATTTTTTTTAAAGAGGGCACTGATATTTTTTTATACACTTATTTAAGTTTTTCTAAAATTTCAATTGCCTTTGGCCAGAAAGAATGATGCTCTTTTCCTTTATGCTTTTTTTGTTTATCGATGCTCCATTGACACTATCAAATAATTGGTCAAAGAATGAAACAACTTCAGCTGTATTTCTTAATGTTGTGCTGACGGGCCTGCCATCCACATAAGTTGCTGCAAATTAAAATATTCATACAATAATTGTATGAAACTTGATTCAAAACTATTAACTGTTAGTAAATTTCATCTAATACTCACAGAAATTTGCAGTGTAAGACAAAGCTGCAGACATATTTTTACACAATTTTTTACCTGCAAAAAGAGATATCATATTTAAAATTATCTTCATTAGAGAATCATTATTGTAATTTAAGTGTAAACTATATTAACTACTTGTTACATAATTAAAAATACAGGTCATTGAATCAACACTTGCTCTGATAGAGAATATAGAAGCTGAATACAAATTATTTCTTTTATTTATACTAATTTAAGTTATACTAATATAATAACCAATGCATTACCTTCATCATTTTAATTTTATCAGGTATAACTCATTGGTCATTTAATTTATGACGTAGCCCAGCTTAATTAGCAGCCAAATAATATCATGCCATTTTGCAAGTTTAATATCCAATATTAAATTTTTTGTTAAAAAATTGTTCCTGATGCATTTTATCAAGTATGCAGAATCATAATGTTCAAATCCACCCCACATATTTTAAGAATGCCAACTGAAACAAAAATTTAAGAACTTCTTAAAACATAGATAACAATATAAAAATAGGAACCTTCACTACTTTCATTAAATCTATTAGTTTTCTTTCATATAAATATAATTCTCTGTACCAACCTGTGATTTCAATTTAAAATTTGATCACACTAAGTGTCTTCTTTTAGATTTTTGAGTGCTGATTGGAAAGCTGAGCCTTGGTCATATATTATTGCGATGGGATTAAGGTCCAATTCAACAACTTTTTCTACTACTAACTTTTATTATACGAAAGTGCTGTTTCTAATGACATCTCATCAAATATAATGGAGCATATTTTTTGGAGTTTCATTTGTCCACCTGAAAAAATAAATTCAAATAGGTAGGTACATATTATTATTTGGTAGTAATACAAAAAATTATAAAAGTATAATGAAAAATCTTATATGGAATATATTTACCTCTTACATGAAGCCTGGTTCTATGATCGATTTTCTAATCATAGTATTCAGTGTAGTTTTGGATGATAAAATAAAAAATTTTGCTTAAAAATCAATAACACTTTGGACTCTGCTTTGATATTGATAAAGCAATTATCTTTTCTTCGGTAGTGAATCACCTCTCATGTTTATTTTTAGAGCACATGCTCACTTGCATTTCAAAAACGTTTTTTGCAACTGTGTTCATTTTTTGTCAGAACTTTTCAAATGATAACTTTTTACAAAACTTAACGGTATTTAAGTATTCTTAACTTTATTATGAAAGTTCAACTACGTCTTTGGCTTGTTATATTCTTCATAAATTCTCTGGTATAAAGGTGACAATTGGCTTTATTTGGTAATAAGCCTTTTGTTTGGGTACATTTCACAGGGTCTGTAACATCAAAAGTATTCAGTGAATTTCTCTATTAGAACTACTATTTGATTGAAATAAAGATACACTAAAGAAAGAGACAGGTCTTACCAGATAATTTAGTTTGTGTCATATTTTAATCTCCAGAGCAAGCAACTAATTGAGTAAACTCAGTGGCTGCAGACACGGGAGTCTCAATTTGTTCTTTTAAAATTACACCACCTATGAAATCAATATTATGTGTGTAAGATTAAAAAACAGGATATAATCTTAGATGATATTAGAAATATGTTATTTATATTATCAATTTATTCTCTGATCAAAATCACTTCTAGCGTGCCCGCTAGAATTAAGTAACTTGAATGTCATTTTTCTTTATGTGTGTAAGAAAGAGAGATCTGCTAGACTTTTTTAAAGCAAAAATCTATATTAAAATACACCAAAACTGCAGCATGAACTTTGTTATCTAAATAAAATAAATTAAAAACAAACCTCTGTTCAGTTCCACTTTCTAATATGTGTGGTCAACATGACTTTTTCTTGCATAGCTGTGTTCCCAAGTGAATATAATTTCTGTAATAACAAAAAAATGTAATGAAGAATAGCGGTATTCCAAAACACAACATAAAGTGAAGATACATATCATTTTAATTACATTATCTAAAGGTAATAGCAGATTAAACCAGCCTTACCAGTATTGCTTGAAGAGGGTAGGCTGATTGAGAGCCCATCATCATTAAACAATGACGGATATGCGTCACCCAAGAGTCGTGATTTTGGAGTAATGAATCTTGGTACAACGTGTTTGCTACAAATGACACTTCTGCCTGTATTCAAATTTTCAGTATCACACACAGCACTAAGACATTGTAACCACTTGGAGAATCTTTTCTCGTTCACTAGAATCTTACAAAGAATAGCGTCCTGTTCGTACTTTAACAATGCGTGTAACACAACCATAACACAACACACCAATTTCCTAGGCATCTTCTACAAAGAAAAATACTTCGAAAAAAGGAGAGTTTATATTACAAATAAAGCGAAGAGGGTAAGCACAAACGAAACTTTACTCAATCACTCGTAATTCCCTGATATGTAGGTACATACTTTAGTCTTCTTCTTCTTTTATTAATGGCATTTCACACAATTTTGCCAATGTGAAGTGAATGAATTAATTCCAACATGTAAAATGAAAATGAAATGAATTAAAGATTAATTAAAACATTAGTATCTTTACTCTTTGTTGTAATGACAGTTTCTGTCAGATGTCATGTCTCCATCTACTGACAGGGGTGAGGGGCGTGTGGAAATGTCATACATCACTGGACCCCTACGCGATTGGTTTCTTGTACGGAGTTGACGGGCCGTGCCTACTACGTTCGAAGTCTTCCAGAGAATGACAATAAGATTGACATTTGACGTATTAAAAAAAAAAGCGAAAGCACTAAAAAAGTACCTTCACTAGATGGCGACTCTAACAAAAGTTGAAAAAACGTTGAAACGAATGGACCAAAGATTGTCAATTTCGTTCTTTTTAGCTAACAGTTAAAAAACTGAAATTATCAAAGTTCGAAACTTAGATATCAATTTAGTTGTTTACTTCCATTAACTTTAAAATACTACAGCCGCATCTACTGCCTTGGTTGGTGAAAATAAATAAAACGCTTTAAATAATAGTGCAAAAGAGAAACTTGTACAAGTTAACATTTAAACAGTCTGTTCTTTCTATACCAAGTTTATATCATTGGTCTTTGCGATCTTGTTGTCATTCTTCTATTCTGTCAGTTTGATATGTCACCGATTTTATTACAATCCATCAAAATTTCGTGTTTGTAAGAAAATCAGAGTTATAAAACTTTAAAATCCCAAGTCCCAATCTCAATTACTCATTCTCAATAATAGACACGATGACAATGCAGTTTTTTTGTGTTTCGTCATAAATTATTTCACATAGCGCTACACGGCACGGTTCTAGTGAATTGTATATAATGTGTTTCTCTAGAACTTCATGCTCAGTAATTAATCGTCGCTGGTAGTCTCGAGTGTTTGTTCACGTTAAATTTTTAACTGGCCGTTAACCTTGTGGTTTCGAAACTGAAGGCCGCTTATCGTTTACAAAGTTGTTACTATTTTAGTCGGTCGCGATGTTGAAAAGTGCTTCTAAAGTGACAATAAACACTGGGAACGTGTTAAATTTGATAGACATTAAGAAAAAAGCCGGTCAAAATGTTACAGAGGAGGTTAGTACTTCGAATGTAAGGTGTTATGAATTTTTTTACTTTATAGGTTACCTATTTTATTTCAGTTTTGTTCTAAAGTAAAAATAGATTATACATAGAGGTTATAAATTAAAACAATGTGTCATCAATCTGTTCATTTGACTTTGGCTTATAGAACTAGAGTTAACCACTATAGAACTTTACAAGCCTCATGAATTGCTAACATCCTGGAACCTTCTCTAAATAACATGCACTTGATATCATATGAAAATAGAAAATATAGGTAGCATGAAAGGCAAGAGGTGAATTATTAATTAATAATTGAAATATTGTTTTGATAATTTAGTAACTTTAAGTTAATTTATTGCATGAATTTTTGAAAAAGATTTAATTTATATGTAATATTGCATATAACTCGATATTCAAAGTAAAAAAAAATAAATAAAAAATATCTTTGTAATAACACAATAACAATGGAACATACATTTTATTAAACCTAAACCAAAAAAATAGAGAGACATAAGATTTATTTTATTAATAAAAATGTAATACAGGTTGCTATTTTAGTCAACCTCGTTGTATGATCTCAACACAACCCAACTTAAGAGGTGCAGGGTCGAAGTGGATTTTTTAAGCATTTTTCATTAATAATATGTTTTAGTATCGCATTGTGAATGTAAATTTGATTAATTATAATAGTCAAAAAAGTGTACTCATCAACCAGTGTTTATTTATTAACGGTACTGATTTTTAAACGCAATTACATTATCAACATGGCAGCCAGAGCACATTAGCAATTTATGGGGATTATACCAAAGTAAATCATGAGAGTTTCTATACCTTTTTGAATAATATAAGATTTATTAATTTTTTACATCATTAATTTTTCTGAAAACAACTTTTGTATTGAACTGTTGAAAAATAGTGGTTAGTATCAAGGGCCTCACCAAGGTGGGCAGGAGGACCAGCTGCTTCCCCTAGAGATTTTTAAAAAGTTGCCTAATTTAAAGCAACAAAAGTCCCAAGTCTTTGACTTCACTTGCGTAATCGATTATTTCCATATTTCGGAATTCAAATGAACTTACCCATTCTATTCCTACATTAAACTATGCTCTGCTCTATGCTATTGTTAAAATGAGAGAAGAGTATTGTACATTCAAACCCCTAAATTATTTTTAATGTTATATTTCTAATAATTGTAAGTATTTACTTACAAGTTTTATTTACTCTACAGTCAAGAGCACTTTACAGGTTAGTACCTATACAATTAACTTAGGTTTGTACTACAAGTAAAAAGCTTCATGTGTTCTTGACTTTAGCATACTTAGCTCATTCTCCATAATCAACTTCCACTCCCCCCTGGGCCACTGGCTGGCGACGCCTCTGAATAGTATTAAAAAATAGTCTTTTTTTGAATGTCCATATAAACTCTTTTGTTTTCATGCTATGGTCATGAAGTTGACAATCTTTCCAACCTTATTACAGTAAATGATTTAAGTCAGATTTTGCAGCAATTTATCAGAAAAATAATATTCCAACTTAAATTAAATGTACACATAGCATGTTGAGTCAAACTTCTGTAATCCAATTTGAACTTAAATTCTAATGGATTAACATTTTTAATCTGTTGGAGTTGTAGAGGTTAGAATGTTGACTGTGTGTAAATCATAAGTATATATAGTAATTAAAATACTATAACTCATTGCACCCTAAACTGTTTTATGAAATAAGTGATTGATAGATTTGATTTGAAAGTTTCCTGTATTAAGCATGTTGACATAACATTTTTGTTGACTACCATATTTCCTGTTATATGATGTCTGTGGTACATAAACATAGGTATAAGGTTAAACCTACATAGGTTATCTTCAGATGTTAATTTAACTGGATGACAATAATATAAATACTACAAAAAATCCAAAATAAATGAATTCAGAAAGGAGATATTATATATGAATGAACTCTTTTATATTAATAGACAAGACACCTACATTTGCTACAAAAAGGTGCTATGCATATAACTTTTCGGTATTAATAATTGTGACAAAATAAATTAAAAAATGCATATGATAGTTATTTTTTATCATTATAATGATAACTGTACTAGATTTATTAATTCTTTAATGCAATGCAATATTACATGTATACCACTTTTCCAGCTTTCAGAAAGCATCAAGCTGACACTCTCAGAATGGGGATTACAAAATGGCCTCCCTGTACAAAATGGCCTTTCCGTACAAAATGGCATCGATGCCAAGGAAGAACTACATCCGGAGACATCGCAACAGAACTCCGACTACAAGGTTGTATCGACGTCACGCGCACCTCAGGAAGCGGTTGTAAACATAACGAGACCACACGATGACGTCGTAAACAAAATGGCGGAGGAAGAGAGGAAGAATTTGAAGATCGGCGTCAAAATCTTCATCAATGAGGACAGCACGAGTTCACTCACGGAGTGTTTGGAAAATGGTGAGTGAAGAAAATCTGTGTAGGAGTCTGAAGGAAAGTATAAAATTAGAGAAAGATTTGCAGTAAATTTACAGTAAGAGTAGGGTTACCAGACAAAAAATCAAAAGTCCGAAGAAAAGACCTGATTTTCATTGAAAAATCGTGAGATTGTGTTGCAATTTCTTTCTCAAACGTACTTAACAATTTAAAAAGGCCGAATTATTATAATTTTTATACACTGTGGATCTCGGGGTATCTCGCTCACTCGTTGCACATGGCAAAATTAGGAAGATTTTGTTGAATCTGTTATATTCTATTGAAAATTCATATATCCTGATTTGCTAAATTCGACTACAATCCTGAGAAAAGTCTAAAAATCCTGAGCTCTCAGGACAAATCCTGAGATATGGTAACTCTAAGAGCACTTATATGGCACATAGTGAATCATTATTTGCGTAGAGAAAATCTACCAAATTCGACTTAAAAATTATAATCGGTCTCGTTTTAATAACTACAAGGTGTAAAATACAGTTGTATTCGTCTCACATTCGGTGCAGTTGGAATCATTCTGATTGACTGACATTTTTTGCCTAGTATTTATATATATATATAATTTTATTTTACATAAAAAATAGTTAAATTTTATAATCATGTTATATTTAATTTCTTATCATTGACCTGATTCTTGAGATATGATCTAATCGGAGTTATTATAGATATTAAAGCTTCGATGCCTATCGCTCTAGACTCCATAAGGTAAATAATGTTTTCAGGGGTCTTAGTGTTCGCTTCTACAATAAGTTTTGAAGCAAAATACAACAATTTGATATTATTACTTTTGGTTTACTGTTAAAAAAAACTTATTATAAGGTATCTGATTATATAACAGATAAAGATGGTCCACCAACTGGATAGGTGATTTCTTCCTAACTCGTTATCAGCCGTACTTATAAAAATCAACTAATCAACGTCTTAGCATCTGATTTAATAATCACTACTTAAGTAATCGTTAAATATTTATTACTTATAAACGCTACTTAAGCATTTGATAACTAATCAACAATCACTAACACATTTTTTTTTTATTCTGAAAACGCTGAATGAAAATCTCACCAAAAGCCAAACAGCTGCGTCTTTAAATATGGAATTTAAAAAATAAACGTCAGTTTAGTTTACGTGTCGGTAAGGTAGATGTTTGAAGAATTTTAAACACTTATTTTTTTTGTGTTATCAAGAAATTACGTCGATAATGAGTTGAAATGTCGTATGACGTCACACCTTTGTACTGTTTCTTAATAGTTTTGACGTAGCAAACTCCCCACTTTTACACAATTACTAAATTAAATATTAAACTATACAAATAAACAACTGAAATCCGGAACTGGGTAAGTTTTAAGTCGTGTTTGTTTATTTGCCTTTGACTACCATAAACTACCACCAGTTCAAAGTTTAGGAGTTTTGTCTAAGAAGAACTGGCGAAATATTCTATCGATTTGAGTCACTTTCAGGGAACGCATATTTTGCTTTAAATAATTTTGTTGTAAATAGATATACTGAAAATACATATAAACCGATACAAATCTACATGTTCATGCACGCGGCTTTGTAATCGAGAACACAAACCACTACATCAAGATGGCTTTTAATTATTGTTAAAAATGTTGGTAAAAACAAAATATATAATTGTACAATATTAAGAAATGGAATCAATAGAATTTCTTCATTAAATGACGTTAAGATGGACAGTGAATTCGAATTCGGGTTCAGATCTTTACAGTATCGCCCTGTTGCTGCCAAAGAAAGGGTGTGAAGTTACTTAATTTGTCAGCTATTTAAAATGTTGCTAAGATGCGTTTTAACTTTAATGAACATTTTCAAGTAAAGAATGTTGTTAATGAATTACTTAGCAGTGTCTTAATTTTATTCAAAGTTTATAAGTAAGGCTGTATATCTCTGGTGATTTTCTTACTCGTTCTTATAATCAGCCAAAAGACGTCCTGAGCGGGTGGTAGGGATAAAATGTTGGACGATTCGAAGGTACTTTAAAGAAGTCTATTTGAATAAAGATTATTTTTGCTTTGACTTTGACTACATTTCAAAGCACGATAAATGTTAACCAATCAGAATGATTGGATCAGTTCAGTTATTGGGCGTCCCGCACTCGTAGTCCCCGATGAGTCTTAGTGAGCCGAACACCTAATTCACTACTTTTTACACCTTATAATTATTGTAACAAGACTAGTTATAAATTTTAATTGTATGTTCGTTCATCAGACGACCTCCGTAGTCTAGTGTTCTTAGAAGTTTATTATATAAAATTTAAATAATCATTTTATATATTGACTAGCTTTCCGCCAGCGGCTTTCCCCGTATCGGCCTTTATTATATATAAGAACCTTATTTTTGAATTACTCTGGATATGATGAAAACCGGATTAAAATCCATTGTGTAGTTTAAAAGATATCAGCGTACAGACAGCGGGAAGCGAATTTGTTTACTATATAATTATAGATAATACTGTCGTGTTTATTGCAATGAAAATGAAATGAAATGAAATGAAAATATCTTTATTCAAGTAGGCTGTTACAAGCACTTTTGAATCGTCCAAAAAAGATTTTTTTCCCCTACCACTTGTTCAGGACGTCTTTTAGCTGACAAGAAGAACAAGCGAAAGAAACTTATCAGCTTTTTATCATAAGTAATGACATTTACATAAATCATGTCATTACCAAAATAATATGTATTATCAATTTATCACAATAGTAAATACAACTTTCAAAGTCTGTAGGACATAAGTTGAACATATAATTAGTCTTTATAGAACAAAGCGAAGGCTATTAATTCCATGCATTGCGATCCTTAAAGTAATCATCAACTTTATAATAGCCTTTACTCATAAGTATATTCTTTACATGAATTTGAAATTTATTTATGGGTAGGTCAATTACATTTTGTGGAACTTTATTGAACATAGCAATACATTTACCCAGAAATGATCCTCTGGTTTTTTGAAGTCTGAAGCTTGGAACGGCAAGTTTATCTTTATTTCTTGTGTTAAGATTATGAACACTACTTTTTTTTGTGAAGGAATCGTAATGTTTTCTTGTGTACATAATATTCTCATAGATGTATTGAGAGGCAACAGTCAGAATATTTATTTCTTTAAATAGTTCTCTGAGAGATTCCCTAGACCGTAAATTATATATAGCACGGACAGCTCTCTTTTGTAAAATAAAAACATCCTGAATGCTAGCCGCAGAACCCCATAACAATATACCATACGTCATTACACTATGAAAATAACTAAAATATACCAATCTTGCCGTTTCAACATTTGTCAAGAGTCTAATTTTCTTAACAGCAAAAGCTGCAGAACTCAGTCTACTTGACAAGCTATCAATATGAGGATCCCATTGCAGTCGGGAATCTAGTGTAATACCAAGGAACTTTGTCGATTCTACTAACTCAACTTTTTCACTATTTACATTTATAAGTGTACTGACATGCCTCACATTAGGTAATGCAAACTTTATGCATTTCGTTTTATTTGAATTGAGCTTTAAATTATTATTATCAAACCACTGTAGAACATTGTCGAGAGCATTATTTACATCGTCAAAACAATCATTACCCCTCTCAACTTTAAACAGTAAAGAGGTGTCATCTGCAAATAATACTGTCTCGCACAAATTCTTCGTAAAGTGAGGAAGATCATTTATATAAATTAGAAAAAGCAATGGTCCTAATATCGATCCCTGAGGTACGCCCATAGTAACTGGTGCCCCTGCAGATTTCGCTTCATTGATTACTACCTTTTGAATTCTAGCAGAAAGATATGATCTTATTAGATGAAGTGAAGTTTTCGTCACACCATAATGTTCTAATTTCCCCAACAGTGTTTCATGACAAACGCAGTCGAATGCTTTTGATAGATCACAAAAAATGCCAATAGCATCTTGTTTATTCTCCCAAGCATCATAGATATGCCTCAGAAGTGCAATTCCAGCGTCTGTTGTACATTTACCTCTGCTAAAGCCAAACTGATTTTGGTGAAGTAATTTATTTAATGAAAAGTGTGCAAGCAGTTGATTGTAAATCATTTTCTCAAATACTTTACTTAACGCTGGTAGAATAGAAATTGGTCTGAAATTACTGGGATCAGACTTGTCGCCTGCCTTGAAAAGTGGGATTATTTTACCATATTTCATTAAATCAGGAAAAGTTCCTTCATCAATGCACTTATTAAAAATAAAAGTTAATTGAGGTGCTATAGCTGGGATTATAGATTTGATAACATAAGTTGAAACGCCCCAAAGATCTTCGGTTTTTTTGACATTAATACAATTAAATGTTTTAATAATTGAGCAGACGTTAACGTGTCTAAAATAAAATTCAGTATTGCACTTATCAACAACTGACTCTAGATGCGTAACCGCAAGTTTAGAACATGAACTAAGATTTCTTGTGATTTCTATTGGTGTCTTAGAAAAGAATTTCTCAAATGTCTCAGCAACCGCTTCATCTGTTTTAATAATTTTATTGTCAACCTCTAATGAGTATGTGCGTATATTACTTTTATTTTTACCCGTTTCTTGATTTATGATAGTCCAGGTTGATTTTATTTTATTTTCTGAATTGTAAATTTTTTCAGATATATATTTTGCTTTTGCTGAAACACATACTTTCCTAAAAATTTTCGAATAATTTCTGACATATTCAATAAACTTTGGATCGGTCGAGGTACACTTTAGCTCATACAAATCATACAGCCTATTTCGACTTTTGTAGATGCCAGGTGTAGCCCAATCACTAAATTTCTTTTTTTGGTTAGTAAAGTTAATTGTTTTGAGTTTAAATGTTTTATCAAATTCTCCCTTTATCAAGTTAAAGAAATTATTATAAACATCATTTATATTTTCCAAATTACTAGTTGTCAACTGAGTCTGATTTGCAGAAACACTGTTTTTAAATTTTTCTAAATTACTTTTGGTAATAGGTCTACAAATTATATTGCATTTAGGAGAAACATGATGGTGCTCGAAAGTTGCTAGAATTCCGCTATGGTCAGATTGAATACAATTTATTATCGATTTTTTGAACACCTTACATTTACAAAAAATATTATCTAAGCAAGTAGCGGATGTGGGTGTAATGCGGGTAGGTTCATTAAAAATATTTTCTAAATTAAAACATTTAAACAAGTTCAAAAATCTACTTGATTTAGCACATTTTATTAAAATATCTATATTAAAATCACCACATATCACTACTTTCTTATTGACTTTGCAAATTAATTTAAATGCATCCTCCATAGCAGATTCAAATTGACAGTAGTCCCCATCAGGTGGTCTATATACTAATACAATAGAAGTATACTATACACACTGTGGGTATATTCACAAAGATCGGTCATCAACCTCTTTTTCATCTTTATCTCGAACTAGCCGTTTTCATCCACATCTATTATAGCTTGATGTCACCCGCGTATAAAGTAATATCCCGTATGTGATAGAATTTTTAAACTAGGCAGTGTTTAGTAGTTTAAAGCCTGTTTTATGCAAACAAACAAACCAGTAAACGATCAAATCCTTTCTTTTTGTAATATTAGTAGACTAAAAAAACATACGAACATGTAACCTAATGCATTCCAATAAATGTCAAAAAGTACGCTATTTACATTATTACGATTACGATGATATGATAATTCTTCTAATTTTGCGTGATTTTTTTCAAGGTTATTGATAAGGAATCTCGCTAGTGACATGAATTAGATGATAGTAGATCGATTCGAGTCGAAGGAAGCGAATGAAAAGAATTTTCTTTGCCTCACCTTGCACCTCATAAATTAATAACAGGTGACTGTAGAATTTTGACGATTCAGCGCGTACTGAGGAGCGATTCCATAAAAATCGGAACCCAAATTCAAATTCACTCATGTTGATTCCATTTTTTTTGTATAAAAATACAAAACAAAATTGATCGATTATACGTTTCGAAACTCACTTTACCACGTGTGCCACGATACGTCATTACCAATTTAAGGTTGTACGTATATCGCTTTTGAAATGGATTCGGACACCTGAGTGTATTCGAATTCGGGTTCGGATTTTTACAGAATCGTAGCGCTGGTATGCTGGAGGTAGTATAATTTTTTTTTACAAAGAATTCATTCGTTTCCTTTAACTCCTTTCGTGCGCTCTATCCTTTCGAATTGAATGCGACTTATATATACTTTAGAAAAATTAATTAGACTTTTTATTGATTTTATATTTTTTTTAAATTTAATTTTAGGATATTCTTGTTTTATTAGATATTTAATTAATTTTCCGTTGTTGGAGTTTGACTAGATTAAGTGCTTGCAATCGAATTATCAAAAATTAATACGTACGAGTTTTAACGAGAACAGAGAACTTCATTAATTATGAACAGATAATTTTTTAATTATGAACCAGATGTTATTCTTAATTAAACATTTCTATACAACCTTTGTACTTGTTTATTATTCGAATACTACCTTTAAGCTCATTTCAAACCTTAATGCATTTATAGTTGAGATTGAAATTGATTGCGCAACGTAATGCAATAAATATAAAGTTATTTCTGAATGAATCCGTTTATGTATAATAAGGACTGCATTTATGCGTTTATTTACATTAATTATTAAATAAATACCTATCGTTTATGCGATTTGTTCTCGTAATGACTATTGGTCAATTAATACGAGAAATGGTCGCAGTCATTGTGTTTATGGGTCTATTTGCATGCAACATGAAAACGATAGATGATTTATTACATTACCTCTGTATCTATATTATAATATTATTACCCTCCCATCCGCATTGAGCCTGCGTGGAGGGCCATGGCTCATTCTCCTTAACCATCCATAAGGTAGTCCTGAGCCCCTACAGTGGCGCCCCCACTGGGCTGATGATGATATATAAGGTTGATAAATATATATTACACAATATCACATACCTACATTGCTTAGATTCCAATATGAGTAGATGTAGTCCCCGCGTTATGGTGTATATGAGACAACGAAGGTATCAGGGCACAAATCAAATCAAATAATTTATTGGCCATATAACTCAGAAGGTTACACTCGGCAAGTCTTTTACAATAAGCATATTAAATAAAAAATAAAATCATTGTAAGTAGGAATGTCAAATAAATTAATTATCTTAACAATGTCAAAATGGTTATTTTTCCGATCCTTAATAATCAATTATATCACAGTCAATTAAATTACAACATTATACCTATTATCACAAATTAGATTATACAAACATAGGTTATATATAATTTTATGTCATAAAATATTGATGATTATTTTATCTTGTCATCTACTACAGAGATCTAGTCAATTTCCTATCTCATCCGTCTTTATGTAGGAATGAATATTCATCCAAACGCATAGACATAAATTCATTTAAAGAGCATAAGGGATGCTGAATAAAAAATTTTTTAATTGTTCTTTCGAATTCGTCATCATTCATGTTTGTTATACTGAGGGGAAGTTTATTATACATTATAATTTTATTATACATGCCTTGTTTTTGTACCTTTGCCAATCTTGTTTTAGGCAAACAATCGTTCCTTATTACGTAAATTATAGCTATGGGTGTCCATCTTTCTCAAATGTGAATCCCGATCATGGTGTATTTCTATTAAACATTTATAAATATATAAAGAAATAATTGTCATTATTTTATTTTGTTTAAAATAAGGTTTGGCTGACGTACGCTTGCGCAAACCATTTATAATTCGTAATGACCTTTTTTGGCATTTTAGTGCACATCCGAAACAATATGGAAAAGTAAATTTTCCACATTAACTCGACATGACGTAGTCAAAAATAAATCACTTATATAATAATATCGTTTCAGTATTCGCAGCGTTACACACAGACTGTATAGACAATGTGATACTGTCGTACAACCCAGACACACAGTACAAAGATGAAACCTCCGACGCCAACAATCTCAGGAACAACTATTCCACTAAAGCATCCCCTATATCTTTAGGGAGCAACGTTGGTGAGTGATTTTGTAATAGTGTAGTGCATTAGTACCTCTAATATGTGAAATAATGTGAGTCGAGTGATGTCACGAGACATAACGTGTTCTAGTATAGTTTTTGTTTCCAGAATGTCTGATTCCGCAAATGTCCAAAGAGTTCAAAATAACTAGAATTATTAATAATAGTTTGGTTATGAGTGTCTGTAATGTTCTTTTTTTTTTATTATATGCTATAAAGTATATTATTATTATGTATTTTATTGAATTAAAATACTACTTTAACAGTAAGCTGTCACTAAAAACTATTCAAAAAAGTAAGTCTGGTAACATTCAAAGTTTTGTGGCAATTTTTGAACGAAAAGGTAAAGAGATCAACCCGTTAACGGTTTTTGTGTAAAATATTAAATCGATAATGTATAATATAATTAAATATTACTTTTATCTGACTTCCTGAGTACATCAGACTATGATTAGCCCGCACTAGGGTCGTTCGCGAAAGCTGTATATCCAGACCCGGATCTACGATTTTTTTCAACCAAGGCAGAATGTAACGCCCTATGACCCCCTCACCGCTGCTTGTGCCATATTTTTTCTTTTATTTAATTTAAAGACTGTATTATATTATGACGATTTTTAGCTCCCTTCCCTCCCTACGAAATTGCCCCCCAACCTAGATTCGGGTCTGTGTATATCAACCAATTTATTTCGAATGATTTTTTCAATACAGATCGCATACCCAGCACCGAGGCAGATGCCGACAGCGAGGCGGACGCGAGGAAATGCGAGGCGATCTTGCCCGGGATGAAAGTGCTTTGGGGGGTACTCGAAGATTATGTAAAAAGAGGTGAGAGTGATTTATGAAACCAGCCGACATAATAAAAAAGCCGATAATGAAAAATGCTTAAAAAAACCACTTTGTCTCTGGCACTCCGAGATGGGATTCGAACATCTGAATCGGAACTTTAAATATTTGTAAAAATATTTCTTTCGGCTATTTGGGTAGATTCTCTGATCATTGATGAAAATACGCTCTGTATGAGCGGAAAAAGTAACAAGTGCTTGAAAAATTCGCCTGTCCCGTTAGGTCCTGGGTAGCTCAGTGGTTAGAGTAATCCCCAGGATTGCGAAAGATCGTGACTTCTTGGCCAGGAACGATTTTTTTTTTGCTAAGCTTGTATTTGTAACTTGGGGGCGCAGCGAACTTTTTCCATCCATGACATTTGAATGTAAAAATATAATATAAACTTCTTAGTTTCTCCTTACAGCCAATGAACTAGTAAATTTAGGATTCAGCGATAATTTAAAATAAAAACCATAGACATAGTCAACATTACGTTTTACTATGACAAATCCAATATTATTACTATTTTTTGTCTTTTTTAATTATCGTTATTGTTGATAAAACATAATATTTTAATGCGAGCACTTATCATCCCATTCTCGAGACGGACAAATCCAAAAATATATATATAAAAAAATAGTCCGTGCCGCCGCGCAGGTCGCGTGCAGCAGCTGGGCGTGGCGGACGCGGGCGGCGTGTGCCTGCGGCGGCTGCACTTGTGGGCGCGCGTGCGGCCCGCCATCGCGCAGATCAACCTCGCCTCCTGCTGCGTGGTGCCGCCCGCGCTGCACGCCTTCTGCCGCGCCAACGACGTGCAGCTGCTCACGCACGCCGACCCGCCAGGTGAGCGCGCGCCCGCTAGCGGTGTGGGGAGAGTGCGAGTGCGAGGGGGGGAGAGCGCGAGTGCGAGGGGGGGAGTGAGTGCGAGTGGGGGAGAGAGTGCGAGTGGGAGAGTGAGTGCGAGTGGGGGAGTGAGTGCGAGGGGGGGAGTGAGTGCGAGTAGGGGAGTGAGTGCGAGTGGGTGGCAACTCTTATATGGGTGAACCGACATGGATAATTCTTCTTGTGACTTAATCGATAGTGATTTTATTTATGTTTTATGAATATCTTTGCAGCCATCTGAAGGTCATCGGCTCTTTTTCGAGATGATGTATATGTATGCATATTCATATGCATTGCGATCGTCGGAGAACTTGACTCTTGAAATTCCATCTCATTGCACTTCCTTTTTTGATTCCTCATTTACTCGTCCAAGCTGCTCGTCTCTGGAATTCTCTCTTAGTTGGATAGCTGGATCCCTGCCAACATTTAAAGTTTACGCCAAAGAATTCTACCTTTCGCAATATGTAGTTTATATATGTAATTTATATAGAGATATACGATTATTATTTATTGTAGGTATGTAATTTGTGTGTGTTTATATTCATTGTTGCACTTAATTGTATATTGTTGTTCACTTGTACACCCCCGTCTCCGTTATAATGACTATGGCTTTCTTCATCCAAAGGTTGCCTGAAAGGCCGCCAATTGTTTCCATATTAATTAAGTTTAATTTATGTTTGTTTCTGTAAATAGTGTATTGTTAACAATAAAAGAGTTATCTATCTATCTATCGTTCGTTTAATAGACACTTAGTACACTTCTGCACCGATTGAGTTGAAACTTGATACATGTCGAATCGAATTACATGATAATGATATGGTGACCTTGATCTTGAGTACCAACTCCTCGAAAACTAACAGCAGATATATCGTGTTTAGATTCGTTGAAAAGGGTACATCGGTGCAAACGCACTTTACTAAAGCGAAGTAGCTAATTTTTTTTATTAATATACCTTCTAGCACTATTTATATAATTTGTGTTTGACGCGGTAGTCAATAGGCTGGTGATGATAATGATTATTGATGGTGTTCTAATTGATGGTGAACTATTATATTACTTAATTCCTCAGATCTATTGTCGGTGGCGGCCGTGAAGACCTTATCTGATGCTGGAGTGGGATGCAACAGCCTCGACTGGTGCGCCAGGTATCAAGTACACATCAAGTGTAGGGGAGTTCTAGCACTGAAAGGTTACGTATGTAAGGGAACACTCATTGAGAAGGTAAACAAGTGAATTTCAGTGTGATATATAGCTTTTATTGCAAGTAAATAAAGTTCAAAATAGTTTCAATAGACTCCTCATATTTATTTTAATAGCGAAAGTATTTCCTGCAGTATTTGACTTACGAATTTTAAATATGAAGATCAATATGGCGGCTTGATTTCAATAATAAAAAACACTAAAAAAGTGGTAGATGGATGTATTTCAAGCAGCATTAAACAAGAGTATCTTTTATATAGAAAAAAAAATATTCAAAATTATGTTTTATTTCAAAAAGTGAAGGCTTATTTATTTATCTATTTAATGTAACATACAACAGTACTATTAAAAATACATGACACGAGAGCATATTATAAGATATTTGATTATATAATTAACAGGTATGCTTAGACTTGAAGGGTTCTAGATATTTCGATAAATTATTTTTTCTTTACTTATATTTAAAAATTATTGTGTTTCTTATAATCTTAGTATATGTTTCACGTATTTAGTAGGATAGTCAGCTTTAATAGAAAAAGAACTTATAAATCTTGCAATAATTACTATAAAATATATATGTGATAAACTTAGTTATAGAAATTTATATTTAAGCACTAACGCAACTGTTAGGTGTTTCTTACTGTTATAAATCATACGGCATTGTTTTATAAAAATCATTTATCTTTCGGACGCTTCGAGCATTACCTTTTTTTTTGTGCAAATTAGTACTTAATACTTAAGTGTGGTATTCGTAAATATACTTATGTTACTTTGTGGTTACCCTCCATTACAAAAATTAAGATGTTATTTTCAGATTATTTAAAATTATCATAAATAATTGTGTGCCTTCTGTGAAGATACAACTCGAGTTATATCAAATTTCTCTAGACCACATTTGGATACGAGCTATAGTTTCGGAGATAGTCTGATACAAGGAAGGAAGAAAATGCAGTTTTAATGAAATGTTGATGTTTAAAAAGAATGTGTCGTATGTTGTATAGGTAATTCTTGAAAAATTAAAATTGTAGCATTGGTTCATGCACAGAATAGATAAAAAGGTTAGAATGATAACGTACTAACATTAGTACTAGGACCGCGCGTGCCAGATATCACACAGACATAAAACTTCACCTATTCAGCTCACAAAGAGAGCGATGCTTCCATTGGCTACAAAAGTTTCAGCAAAATTAGTATATACGAGCCTATTAATACAGGTGATTTTGCAGTAATACACAAAATGTATGGCTAGCTATAATAAAAATTTGCACAATTACTTTTGTTAGTTCTAAATATTATATTTTGTGCGCAGATATTAAATTAGTTAATGTGTAAACATTTGTAATACATGTTTTATTACACAAAAATATTATTGCACGACGTATCTGCATTAAAACAATTTTTCAAAATATAATGCAAAGAATTTTACGCTTCTGTCAACACTGAAATAGTGAAGTGCCCTGTGATTCACAATTTGATATCGATAATCAGAAAATCATTGATATATTGGGTTACTATAATAAAATAATTTATTAATTTATCATTTCGCATTTTCACTAAAAAAAATCAATAAAAATAAATACCATATGTATGTAATCACGTAACAATAATTGTAATCAACTTTCACTTGAAACGGCTCGATCAATTAGACCAATTCCTATCTTGCTAAAGTAGCAATGTAACTGCGATTTTTGTCAGTTTTAATCAGAAGTAGGCTGCAACGGGGTCACATATCAAGAGCAGGTGACAGTGATGATAATTTGGCCCTTTGGGGGCTAGATTTTTATAATTTGAATTAGCCTTTTTTCTATTATATAGTCATAGTTTTATTTTTTGATACCTAGCTATTTTTTTTTTTGTATATTTAATGATCCAAATTTTTTTTTACTAACTAGGTATTATATGAAGCACGATATATTAAGAATGGAAAATAATAACAAAGATGTCTTATTGAAACTATATTTCAATAATATCCCAATATAACATTTAATTTGACAATATAATCAGAAAATTAGATGTAATACATAATATTTCATTATAAATTTGTAAGTAATTTATCATATTAATATTAATGAAATCATTTACAGAAAAATATGTTGAACAAATGTAACTAGTTTTAGAAGGAAACCATTAATCATTTCTATCACGCGTCAATCCACTTTTCTTTTATGACGGGGTTTCTAGGAAAACTGAAACATACAATACAAAACTCTTTATTGTTCACATTACACAATGAATTACAAAATTTAATAGTAAATTAACACTATTATATAGCAAAAAAAAAAACATACAAATCTCTAAAAAATTTCTGTTAACTATTTATCTTAATAGATTTAATGTTATAATTGCATGTAAATTGATTGCCATTCATAATATTATCGATAGGGTTAAGTACTATCGATAGCATTTTATCGATATCTGCAAGCACTATGTTAACAACTGACACAATCTCACGGAAAAAAATATGTGATTATATCTCGATATACTGTTATATAACATATATTTGTTACTTACCGATGAAATGAAATTTCTCCTTTTTTCAGAATTACATTTTCATTACGCAAACGACTCGTAATAACGGCACTATTCGGCATATTTTCGTATTTTTCGACGCACCATAGACCACTATGACATTGTGCAAATAATAAACTGGAAATTTGAGTAACATGACGTTCATATGACCGTTTTGGGCATATGGATGGTCGCACGACCCCGCCCACTTAATTGTTCTACCTTTTTATCTGTTCTGTGGGTTCATGTTTAGTTGTATTAGTTTACACAAGATCATTATACACAAAAAGACATTAGGTTAGATTAAGTGTTACAAATTAATTGCCAAGGTTTAAAATCGGCAGATTCTTATCGTATCGTATCATATAGCTAAATCAACATGCGACTATCACTTTTCTATGAGCTTCATGTACGGTGTACGATAATATAACTCATTAAGAATTATTTTACACCACCATCTACTTGGTGAACTATGATATAACTAAGTTTTTGAGAAAATATTTCCAGAGAAATTGAGTAGAAAATTCATACTGTGAAAATACTACATAATTTCAATCTGCATAAAAAGGATTTATTAAATAATAGATATTACCCTTTTAATGTATTTAAGTCGCTCTAATTTAAAGTTGACTATTTGAAGATGTATCAATCTTCACAGGTGGCACAGAATTGGATTTATTAAATAGGATAAAATTAGTTATATTAGATTATTTTTTTGTATTCATGCTATACTCATATGATCTTATCGAAAAACATTTTGTAACGCCCCATATATAATGTTAAAATTTTAGAAAAAGGTTTAGAAATGTATATATAAAAAAAATGTATATTGATAATGTAGTTGTTAAATTTATCTGTCACAATCAGGAAATAAATGTCGGTGAAAATTTGAATAGCAACAATTAAAAATAGTCCAATATTTTTAAAATTTATTAAGGTATTTTGTTAGTAAAATACTCTACGACACTCATATAATTAATGTTAGTGCTCCTTGCTGCCGGGTGAAGTAAAAAAAACAGCTCACAATATTATGTGCTCACAAGAGTATTGTTATCCTTGTTTAATCGAGATTTTGAGGTTTTATTTCTCAGTAGATGAAATATGTGTCTTTTATTTCCAAGTTTTATTTATTTGCACTCAAGATTCAACGTCTACATCTATTATTTTTTATGAATGATTAATGACTCATCCTTTTTAACTATATTGTTGATAAATTATTCTTAAACAACTGCAATCGTAAAATCTTAAATAAATTCTAAATACACGTGTGCACACATGTGAATAAGTTGCTGTTTAATATACATTTATAATTTATACAAGTTACTGGAGAGTTGATAATTTATTATTATGCAAATAAAAATGGATCTTATGTACCATGTTATTTAACTACTCGAAAAAAATCTAATATACGTCATATTTGAAGGAATAATAGTGTTGTTCCTTTATAAAAAATTGTATATCGTGAGTATCGTGAGGAAGTCCACATTTTGAGTGAACTATTCACTTATCGATTTTTATTCGTTACCTCTCAGAGGATGTAGCGGAATTAATTAGCAGAAGACATATTAGAGCGATATTCAAGTTCTATTCTGGCTATGTATAGTTGATTTCGTTGCATTGCAATATTTATCGAAAATATTGTTTAAAAATTTAAATCTTAATTGTTAAAATTGATGTAAGTTAGAGTATAAATTGAATTATTAATTTTCACTTAGAAATGTATTACCAATCGAATTTATTTATTAATAAAAAAATGGCACAGTAAATCACCACTTATGTGGCGTTTCGTGAATCTTCCATTTGCGGAGATCAGACCAAGCAATGATGATCGAATGTATGATTAAAATTTATAGTCAGTCTTATTTTGATATCCATAAGGTGTAAAATACAATGTTATATCAATTTAACTGTACTCATTTATAGAAAACAGTATTTTACATTAAACATTCCTATTTTTTTTTTTTATAGATCAATAAAGCATTTAACTATTACGAATATATTACTTAATGATGAAATAAACGAAGGATAATATTTTTCGATTAAAATTACCAAAATCATGTTACGATAAATTTATTTGCTTAACTTATGCTTTGCTTTTTGTTTCACCATTTATTAGTTAAGTAATTACCATTTATAAGTAATTAGTGGTCGGAATTAGGTAGAGTTATTCATGTACTTACACTGATTTCATACAGCGAAAGAATAAAGTGGATATGCCTCAAATCCCGAGATTAATTTTAAAGAGCAGAAAAAATCCCGTGATTTTTTAAATAAAAAGTTATTTACTTTTACACAATTTAAACTACTGCACGCCCGACGTTGCCAAACTTACATCAACGACATCGGATGTCCAAAGATGTCCAAGATTGTCCATTAGAAATCCCGGGGTCCACAATAATATCAACATTTCGATGCAAGTACATAAATAACTCTACCTAATTCCGACCTCTGGTAATTACATATAAATTTTTATATTTTATTGTGACACGTAATATAAAAATATATTGTTAAACGAAGCAGTATAGTACTTATGACTTCTATGAAATATTCTTAAATTATGCAAAAATGTTACTTATCGTTTACATTGTAAGTTTGATATTTAATTGTGTTTAAATTAAAGTATTTATTGTACAGATTATCTTGTCTCATTTTATTTAGATATATTTTTGTTGTGTTGTTCGTTGGTTTGAGCTCGATGGTCAGCGCGTTCGATGTGCTATCCAACCTTTGCGAAGGCCAGTCATGAGATG